TCTCAGCCTCCGATAGAACCTCCTCCCCTCTACCCATCCCCCAGGGGAGCACAAAAAAGATGAAAGTCTTCCTAAATTTTAGACAGTGTAAAATCATTTTGATTTGCTACATGTCAATAACTTGCTTCCTTTCCTTATTCAAGTAATCAAGCATCTATAAAGCAGATGCGGATCCCCATATGAAGCAAACGAATATCTATTGAATTGCCTTTTCCAAATAATAACCTGTCAATATGGCAGGAACTAACCCCTATCATAGGAATTGACATACTTTTAGAGCTACATGAGACTCTTAACCAAAATCGCGGAAGTTTGAGTACCCCATATTTTCGATTAAATTACTTATACCAATGCTACTACTGTACTACATACATTAAACCAAGTAAACAATGCTCATCAAAATTGTATATCACAACTGAGATATTTGAGATCATTCACTTTGTGTAATTCTCATCAAACCACAGATTGCTAAACACGAAAAACCATATCATAGAAGCATTTGCATAAGATTGTCATTTACCTGTTAAGAATTGCAGCTGATTTAGCCCATAGAAACAAAATGGCAAACAGCAGAAAGAGAACACTTGAGACTAATGATAGAAGTGTATAACCAGAGATCTCAAACACCACCCAAGCAAACAATGTTACTACAAGAATTCCCACTGTCACATCTTTTCGCCTCCATAGAACAACATCAGCAACTGTTTCAAACAAACTACAACTGGATCAAACACAAAATATAACCAACAAACTCCTTCAATTAAAAGAACAAATTTTTATCACAAATACCAATTTCAACAAAAAATTCATCAATCCCATGTCAAGAACTCATTTGCATTTGTGATAAACATGTAAAATCAAATTCCAGATAAACCAAATTCTGAACCTAAATTCTTCATCAAACAAGAGCTGACATGATCAAGGACTTGCATTAGGTGGACTTACCAAAACCTCCTCCAAGGATCTGATGAAGACTTCTCTGCCTATTAAACAATTTATCAGATGAATCCATTTTTCAACAATTAATAAAAAAACAAGAAAACTCCAACTCCAAGAACTCAAATGAAAACAACTTCTTCACAAAGAATCAATCTTTGGTAACTTTAGTCAAAATTTGTGTAAACTTCTTCACAAAGAATCAGTTTTTTCCTTCTTAATCAGATACCAAAATGGATAAATATTGAGATATGGTATTAGTGGCACCAAGAATCAATCTTTTCCAGCCTAAAAGCATGAAAGCATACTCATGACATTATTTTCTGCACTATTTTTTCAACCCCAAAAGAAAAGTAGAAAGTGGGGGCTGGCTAGTTCAAGAAGTGTTTGCCTTTGGAGAAGTAAAAGGGATAAAAAAAATAGAAGAAAAATGGGAAGACAAAGACATTCCCCTCTGTATCTCACAGCTAAGCAATGTCATGTGGGATGCTGATGCTGTTTTCTTCTGCCTTTGTAATAGTAATTTTTTTCAACTAGTATAAATTTTATAGTCTTCCTAGTACTCCTACTCTTTTTTTTCAACTAGAAATTTGGTGGTAAATGATTTGGGCATTGAATGGAATAATTTGTGTTCAAGAAAAGAAGTTCTAAAATAGAAGTAGATCTAACTTTCTAAATAAATATAAATGAATTTAATTTATAACACTAACATATAAGATGATAACTTTTAGGGAATCTTTAATTTAATTTATATTAACATATAAGATATACTCCCTCTGTCCCTAATTACTTGTCCACTTTTGAATTGACACACTTATTAACAAAACAATTAATGACATAATGAGTTTACCATTTTACCCCTATTAATTATGAAATGGATGAAAAATTCTATATTTTTCAAAGTAATTAGTCATTTAATTGAGGGTATAATAGGTTGATTTTTTTTGTCATTTCTTGATTTGTCAAAATGGACAAGTAATTAATTAGGGACAACTATAAAAAAAAAAGTGGACAAGTAATTAGGGACAGAGGGAGTAGCTTTTAGGACTCTTTAGATAAATAGTTGGTCGTGGTATGCATCCATCGATTTGATTTGATTTTATGTATTATCAATTTGATTTATCGATTTTTAAATATGTTAGCCAAATCGATTTGGTTTATCGGTTTTTGATTTATTGAAGAGTTTGATTTCTGTTTAACCAATAAGAAAATGTTCATAAAACAAATATATGATTTCTCCAACAAATAATAATGTGACTTTACGTAATGCTCATAAAATAGAAATAATAGTAACTAACATGAAAAAACTACAAAAATGCAACACAAATAAAAGAATCATGAAGATAATGTGAATTAAAGTCTAAAGGGCAAAGGTAATACTCCGAATAAGGTACTAATATTAATATTTAATATTTTATGTAGGGGTAAAGTAGTAACTTACTATAGTCTTAATGGGTTATCCATTTATCCAATAACCCAATATTTAAAAACGAAAACCGAACCGACTGAATCCCCAATCCTTTGCTTGTTGTGCAGTGACAGTACCAATATCCACTAATCGCGTTTGATATTTTTTTTTATAAAATCATTAAATACTCATTAATAGCTAAACCAATAACAATAAATTAACATTTTTTTGAGTTGATTTATTGGTCGATTTGATTTTTACTCACCCTAGCTAGTCAAATCTACAAGTAATTCTTTTTAGGGTACATAAAGTTTACGTGATTATACATTAATTGTTCTAATTTGTTTACAATAATATACTAAATTCATTTGTAATATATAATATAGAATATATTTTTTGGTTAATATGTTTTATTTGAGTATAAAGTCTATCAGAAACTACCTAAGAAACGTTTTTGACTTATTGCTATGGTGACAAATAACTTTTTTTTTTCATTTACTAATTTAATTGTTATCAAGGTTTATAAGAAACATTTCAGGTAAGCTAAAAAATGTATAATTTTTTATATATATAAGTTAAAATCAATATATATTAATGTATGTTTTTGAATGATGATCTGTAATACTATTCAATCCTAATTTGACGAATAGTTCTTCAATTCCAAGATATTATAAGTGTAATTAGATGTGACTTAAAAGTTTATAAAGTTAATCATATCCCAAATCTATAATTTATTATATTAAGAATCATTGTGATTCCAAATGTACTTTTATCTTTAATATTTTCATCTTGCAAATGTTCTGACATATTTCTAGAAAATGATTCATATGTGTCAAAAAAAATTTCATTGCCCGCATGCGTCTTGTCTACCAAATTCAGATGAAAAAGATTTTAACACATATGAATCATCTTCTAGAAATATGGTGGAAGAAGCAAAAGAGAAGTGTTGAAAGACCAATCGATCCTAACTTTCTCGTTTTTTCTACCTATAATTACAAAACATTCTTGTAAGAGACAACTTTTAGCTTCACATTAGATATCTCAATAATTCTTATTTATATTGCCAAATGTTATTTTAAGTTAAAGAAAATCTTTGCCATTTGTTTTAACACACTACATCGATATTTGCTGTAAAAAAACTTTATTGATGGATCTAAATATTTAACTTATTTAATTTAAAGTCCTAAAATACAAGAAAAGTTTGCTGTTAAAAATCTGAAAAAAACTAAAATAAAACCTAGAAATGTGTACAAGAGATTTTACTAAATTCCTCAAGGCATGACCATACATGAAATAAATAACCTTTTTATTGATTGAAATGGTCGATACGTGAATACAAGGAAATAATCAAAATGTCTAAATAATAATTGCAATTTTTTGACACAAACAATAATTTCTGATGGTTATAAAAGATTTTTTCGGTAACTAAAAATTAATTGTAACTTAACATATCAAAATAAAATAAAATTAATTTAAAGAGAATTTTTATACATTTTTGTGTCATTACAAAATAAAAAGTAACAACATCCTCAATGCAATCTCACAAGTAAAGTTTGAATTGATGCTTTGATGGAATATACACAAACCTTATGAAAAATTTCTATTAACTAAAAAAACTTTAAATAATATTTAATGCATTAGTATTTTTCTCAATGTGTTAAAACTTAGGAAAGAAGATTTATTGTATTTTTAATGTTACCATACAAAGAAATAATGAAATCATTTGTTAATTAGAAGTTCAAATAATTAATAGAAGGAAATAACAAAGTTTTTCAAATTTATTGTAATTCTTTTAAGAATATGGTAAAACATAATTATGATAAATAATAGGGATAATATGTATTAATGGGTGTGTCAAGCCCAATGACAAATAAACGTGAACAGAGAGAGTATTAAAATGTCATTAAAAATTATGTTGAAGTCAACATATTAAATTTCTCTCCCACTAATTGACATATTTATCTAGCATGTTGGTTTGATTTTTCCTTCTTAGTATAATTTATTTTTTCAACGATTTCAATTTTCAAACTTTAACCCGATTTTTCCGAATTATCTGTTCTTATTTGTCCATTAAAGAGATATTTGACAAAATTAATTCTTAAAAGATATAAATATATAGCTTTGAACATCAAAAAGTTAGAAGAGTGAACACTAAAATAAATATACATGAATTTTGTGGAGAAGTTTATGGATGTCAATTAAGTTTTGGTTTTATGCCAACAATTATACAAAGTCCAGTCAATATGTATAACTGTATAGAAGAAAGGAAACAACATTAGATACATACTGAATAATCAAGTATCACGTGAAATTTAGCAAAATAAACCACGAAAACCCATAAATAAGAACACAAATGAGAAATATATCAAAAGAGACACAAATATTTAACGCGGTTCAATCAAATAATCCACAAGAGCATATGAACAATTCACTATTTAAAAGAGTACAAAATATCGAGAGGTTCACACAAGTGATAACGTAACACTTGTGTCTCACAATCCCCTCCCCCTAAATAAAACTCTCAAACCCTTTAGGACTACATTGTCGAACATACTTGGCTTCTCAGAAAAAATCACACACTTGAATTGAAAAAAAAATTGCACAGAATTAATACTTGAGAACATAAATTCTATCTCCTACATGAGCAATCTAAATATCAGTTTTCTTTTAAAAATTTACTACTAATTTTGAAGTTAAGGAAATACATCAGATTAACAATATTGTGTACACGACATTTGCTACAAAATTTTGAAAAGATTACAGTGCTAAAATTCTGTTGAAAAGTGAGGAAAGTTGCTATACAAGTAGGTCATAATGGTTCCTCCCACTATAAAGGAGCCTCACAGCCTTCCTGGCCTTTCTGTTTTTCGAACCTTTACGGAACTCAGCTCCATATTCTGCAATTGGAATGAAACCAGAGCCCCTTCCTCCATGCTGCAGTTTCATCGCCAAAATTCATAAGAAAACATTCAATCAAACATTATTGACGAACAAACAAGAGAGAGGTTTAGAAGTACTTTTTAAGAGCTTAGATAGTACTTACCAGCTAAGAAAACAAAGGTTTGATAACTTTCAACCATTATGCAATTGTAGTCTTACGGTCTAGGCCTTGATCGATCAACTAGGTAGCATGTCTTCAAGGTGAAAATGACATTTTCAACCTCTTTTCCACATTATGTCAGGACTTACTGCAAACGCAGTACCTATATATATGATTTTACAAGTCGGAAGCAAACACCATAGATAAAATGTAACCAATCCCTACCAACAACAGCACATGAGTGCAAACTAGAGATGAACCTAGATCCTGGACCACTAACTCATGACTGGATAAAGTGGCAATGTACACACCAAAATGAACTGAAGATATCTCATATCTTCAGTCACTTTTTTCTATTCAAACTAAAAAGAACTTTTACTTTGTTTGTGTTTCTTTCAAGCATTCGTCATCCATTAAATGTTATTCAAGATGATATCTTCCACTTTGTTTCTCTCTGCTTCATGCTGTTCAAGAGTTAATAATTTCTCTTTTAAAGGAGCGGAAGCTAAGGGTAGTTCGGCTTATTAGCCTGGGAAGATCGAATGCCTTCATATTCAATCTTAATAAATGTATACTGACATATCTCACTCACTTATTGCCAACAGAAGCTTCCAAAGTTGAATTGGTAAAATTTCATTGGCTTTTGCTGCCTTGTTAATTTCTTTCAGAGAATTAGTAGATTAATTGAAGGAGAAACTGCAATGCTAGTCTAGTGTGCAAAAGAAGATGATGGGGCGGATGGGTAACCGTTAGCTTGTTTTGAGAGTCCTAATGCAATAATTCAGTATACTGAGCGGAATGAGATTTCGCAGAGCCTACTTTAGTTGATGGCAAGGAGAAGAGGTATAATTGGACAACAATACCCAAAATACTTTAGCCGATGTTGTTAATGTGTTCATTGATAGGCTAGATAAGCTTTGATTTCCGAGTAAGAAGTCCTTGTTATGACTACTTCAGAAGTAAATCTTTTGAAGCAAAGGGAAGTACCTCCTGTTCTGGTATGTATACCATAATTGGCTGGCAACACAACTTCGATAATACCTGATGAAGAAAGAAAGATGATCTATCAGCATAAGTGAGGAAATGTAGCTAAATGTAAGTGTCCCACTTGTGATGTGTGACACAGAGTATTATCGATGCACTTCCTATAGAAATACTACCAGAAACCATCTTTTCTCCCTCATTAACTAGAAAGAAATTAGTTTGGACATGCCAAGCAGTATACAATTGAAGAAATGAAAAGAATGAGTAGACCAAAACAACTAATAGTCCTGAAAGAATGATTGAGAATCTCATAAAACTTCCCTATGTAACAACTAAACATGGATTACTGATGGTTACATGGCAATAGAGGATAAAGATAAAAAACAATTGAATATTCAAGATTAGAAGAATTAAGGTTTAAAATTTGCTTACCAATAGCTCTGACTCTCCTCCCCAGAAATCAGACCGTCCGATACGTTGGCAATATCTAATAAAATGAATCAAAGTACTGAGAAAGTATTCATATCTGACTAGTAATATTATCATAAAGTACCTAAAATTGAGAGACGAAGTTTCAAGTTCTTCAATGCTTATAAAGCCTCACCGTCTCAAAGACTCCTCAACTGTAATGGCAACCAAGGCCTCCTCATATTTAAGACGTTCTTTCTCATCATCACAAATAGCCTCCTTTACAGCCATCCTTAATTCATCTTTTACACAAGGGAAAGCAGATTTTTCATCAACTTCAGGGAAATAATCACACAAAATGAGACAAAAGAGCACTGATAACTTGCCCCAGTGTATCAGGAGAATTTTTTTTGAGATCACATAATATGTGGAAGCCATAGTTTCCTAGTGAAAAAGAAATCATAAATGAAATGGAAGTTCATAAATTTGACTAGTTAGAGAAATACTATGAGGTTTAACCTTGTTGGTATAATTAATGAGTAGTACAGAAATGATCGATGAAAACCTTGTGGACAATATTACCTGCATCATCTCTTTCATCTCGAGGGTGAAGTTTCACGCCTTTGTTGAAAGCCATCCCTTTTACCTGATTTAAAAATAACACCAATTCCTCAGAGAAACAAATTATTGCTTCAAAGTTCCAATGCACTAAAACATTTTAGGTACAAATAGCATGAAGTACAAAATGGAAATAGAGCACACATTTATCCAATTTTTTCTTCATGGTGCTTCTAGTTACAGTTTTTTACCATAAGTGAAAAGAATTTAGAGCACGTTCCATAATCTGATGATAAAGAGATAAATAGATTCTCAGAGTTCCCTCATGATTGATGTGATTCTTAATTTTCAAGTCATCCTATAAAGTGATATTGAGTTCAGATATTTATGGTTTTCATATGGAAATCTTCTATTCTTTATGAGTTAAGCTGACAACACAAGTCCTTATCTCTCTCACTTTCAGGAACAAAGACCCCATGGAAGGTTAAGATTGCATAGGTTTTTATTTTAAAAGTATGAACGCGGATGACATACTGTACCAAAAAAGATTATACCTCTTGACTACTACAAAGTAAATAGCGAGAACCAATAATATATGTAACATATTACTTTAAAAAAAAGTGAGCCATATCTGTATGCTTTAGCATTTTTATTGGTCAATGGCACTCTGGCGGAAGCTGTTCAGGGTCATTGACAACTCCTTATTCCTGCATGCCAGCACCGCTGAAGAAATCAAATCAGGTTTTCTGGGGGTTTTGCTAGAAGAATGAAGCCAAGAATTTGTGGCATTCTTCCTGATTAGCACTATTATGAATATTGTTCCAAAAACCAGGAAAAAGATGGTTAGTTTGCTTCTTTATGGTCTACGAAAAATGGTCCTTTAAGGTGTGGCACACAAAAACCTTCTGCAGAGTAAGAAGGCACTGTCAGTAAAATGTGTTGTTAGTTTGCTTCAGTTAGTTTTATATTCTTACTCTTGTTAGTGTTTCATCTTTCCTCGAATTTGCATCCCTCTCCCTTTCAATCAATAAAGTAAAGTGTTCTCTCTAAGACCATTGCAATTAGGCTAAAAAGACATCATAAACTTAAAGCAATAAAGTTATGCAGTCAACAGTACATGAAACTAGTTTTCGGACAGGGAAGAAAATGCTTCATACCATAGCACGAAACATGCAGCGCCCATCACCTGTTATTTTCTGTACTGAATAACGTTCTACTTTCTTTAAGGCTGGCGAAGCTCCACCTCTACAATAAAAAATTAGAGAAGTAACATAAACAATTGTGAGATCAAACTAAGCACTTAATTCTAACAAATTTAGAATTTAATTGGCACTGAATTTAGGTAATCTTCAAGCCCTTCAACTGTTTATTGTTAAAGGTTAAGATACATAGATCTTTCATTTGCTCTGAGTACCCGTGCCTAACAAGTGGGACATGAGTCCGGATACTTGATGGGGATTCTTCAAGATACACTAAAAGTTAGCAAAAACTGCAGATACCCATACTGGATACTTATACAGACACCTATTTAATAAAGTGTATTGGTATGACAGTCCATGTAACATAGGTTGAAGCCATTTATGTCACAAGGTATAGGCCACAACCAATTATATACAGCATGATTAAGCTTTAATCTTATTGATAATCCTAGTGTTCAAGCCAACTTGAATGAACCTCAACTAATTTCATGAGGTATATGCTACCCCCCCGCAAGGCTTGTGGCACACAAAACCGAAGCTAAGATTTCAACTTTATGGGTTATGAATTATACAATGACGATTTCAAGTGATGATAATTGGATTGTAAATTCAATATTTGTATATATTTAATAAATTTATTAACACAAATACACTGTTTGAGCAAAATCCATCGGGTTTCACTAGCTCTGCTCCTGGAACACTTGCTACCTCCTGGCTAACAGATGATAAAGAAATAACCTAATGTTTTTGCCTCCATTGAAATTTAAACCTAAGACGATTCTCAACTCACTTCACTAACCACTTAGCCACACAAGTGCAGTTAAAGATTGAGCTTTCTAAACAATACAAAACAAAAAAAATACCAACAAAATTCAAGCTAGCAAATAACAAAAAAAAAGAGGAGTAATTTACAGTGAAGGTCCTATTCTGGCAAAAAATTGATGACCGGTGGCGCCAGCAGAAAGGGCAAATGGTTTTCCTCTTTGATAAGGTCTATAACTGGAAGCAGAAACTGAAGCAACTAGAGAAGTAACCAGCTCAAACTGGGCGAATCCATGTCTCAGCTCATCAAGCACCATTTCTATACCAAAAAAGTTGAAAAAAAAATCATTATCAATCAATCAAATTACACCTCAATTTCAAATTAATGGTTTACTTTAGGCCCAATTTTGTAAGTGTAGTAGCTCAGTACCATTAGAGAGCATGGCCGCCATGAAAGCAGTTCAGTGCTTACTCCAAAAACGGCCGTCTAACTTCTAGGCTAATGATTTATCCTCTCTCTGTAATTAAATTTAAAAAAAAAAAAGGAAAAGGAAAAGTAAAATAAGTGTTTGGTCAAATTTTATAAAATCAGTTTATTTGTTTATTCTAAAAAGGTACTTAAAAAATAACCTCAAATATGTAATCAAAACTTTGAAAAAAAGTTTATTTATGTTATCCGTAAAAAAATGGCTAATCTATGTCATTTTTGTTTGAGAAAATGTTCATCCATGTTATTATTTGTAAACTAAAAATATTTTTGATTTTGTAAAACCATTTTGTACTCGTGATCAATTATGATTCAACCACGTCATTAATTAAATTATATTTTAAAATGGAAAAAGTTCAAATATGTCATCGAACTTTGAGAAAAGACTCATTTATGCTATCTAGTTACAATTTTAACTCATCTATGTCATTTTAGTTAACAAATAATGACATGAATGAGTCTTTTCTCAAACGAAAATAACATAAATGAACAAACTTTTAACATATGACATAAATAAATATTTTCTCAAAGTTTAATGGTATATTTGAGCCCCTCGAAAGAAAACATGTCTCCATCATTCATTAAAAAGATGTTTAATTGCTTTAATCATAAAATATTTGTCTAAATTATATTTTTTATTCCTCTCTTAATGTCTCCGTCAATTACCACTTCATTATTGGAGCAGGGTAAATTTGGAGAAAAGTAATTGATAATTTTATTTTTAAAATGTCAAATATTTCAGAAAAAAATTTAATTTGTGTAATATCAAATATGAATGATCAGAAATGATAACTTCAATTAAAAGATTATGGGTGTGTTGAGACTCATAAGAGTATTGAATTTTTAATTTTTTTAATATTTGGTTGGTTAATCCACTCAATATCTTCTATCCTCATTTTTGGACTACCCCACCCTCCCGAGTCCAACCTACTCTCACATCTCACTTTCCACCTTTATAGTATTTTGTTAAATTATGTATAAATTTTCCTGCTTACTTTTCGATTACTAAAAATAAATAAATAATTTACTCATTTTCTAATTTTTTTTAATGGCTTCATGCCGGAGATATCTATAAGTTCATGCTTCTTTATTTCATAAAATTTTGTATGCCTTTCAAACAGTATATACAAATAAAGAAACAATAAAACCTACCCAACAGGGACCTAAACTTAACAAACATATTTGACTACTAGCAAATTAAAATTGTCATTAAAGGTATGTTAATTTGATCATTTTCAAATTCTTTTTATAATTTGTTGCTATTTTTTACTTCCACTTTCATATTACATGTCATAAGTGTTTTGCAAAAGAGCATTAATTAAGTAGGGTGAAAAAGTTAGAAAATAGAAAAAATTTCATCGTCCCTATAACTAAAGAGTTTATTTATACAAATTGCAACAACAAAAAAATAAATATATGACAATTGTCTCAATTATGATAAACCATCGATGATTAAAAATTACTTGACAAAATGTTCGCATTAATGGTTAAAGTACTTCTTAATTAACTTGTTTAAAAGATTGTTGCATAATTATATCAATATGCAAGCTTGTTTAAATTGTTACTCAAAAGGTTGCACATATCTAAATTGATCAAATACATGTGATTCTCAATATTATAAGCTTTAATTATCTCGGGGGAGTAAAGTATTAAAAAATCAATCAGTTCAATTCAAATAGGAGAAAAATTAGGGATAAATATAATTTGTTGTTAGTACGTGTATATGAATTTGACACCTTTATCATGGCATAAATATATGATTAAAACGTTTAAAAGAATATATAACTTACTATATTGTTTGCACTTTACTGCCATCATGAAGTAATTATTCCTCCCTCGATCTCAATTTATGTGACACATTTCAGATTTTGAAATTCAAACAAGTATATCTTTGATAGTAAATTTTTCATATATCTTCTAAATATTTTGGATTATCAATTATTGTGACTTATAATACTTTTTACGTAGTTTACAAATATATAAATTTCATTTAAACAAATTTGAAGATTTCATGCGCGAATTCTTGGTCAAACTTAAACTGTTTGACTCTAAAAAAACAAAACGTGTCACATAAATTGGGACAAAGAGAATACTTAATTAGTGTAATTATATTTCTGACTTGTTGACTAAACATATTAATTCTGAGTGTGTTTGGTAGGAGGGAAAATGTTTTTTAAGAAAATAAGTTGGTTTCTTGTTGAGAATCTTAGTAGCTTACTTAGTTCATCACCTGAACTTTCATATTTATTTGTTGGTGAATGTTTGATGTCCCACCTTGTTATTTCCGTCGTACCTCCTATGTAATATTTATATAAAAAAAAAGAGTTTCTTACTTATTTTTTTTATGTTGACATGCAAGCAAAAAATATTATCTCAAAAGCAACAAACAACAACACATACTCACTATGATTTCACAAGTAGGATATGAGGAGGTATGATGTACGCAAATCTATCCCTACCTTTCGGAAAGATAGATTGATACCAATAGACCCTCAACTTAAAATAATTTTTTTAAAGCAGGTTTGCAAAAAAAACATGACGGCAAGAGACGAAGCAAGACAACAACATATAATAATTATATACATCAAAGAATATAAGAGAATACACGACTATTATTACTGAGAAGCTAAGTGAGGAGGCTATCCCTCTCCCACATAAGATGCAATAATACTCGACTATCTACTTCTAACCTTTTTATCCTAATTCCCAATCTTTATATTTTAAGGGGTCGTTTGATGTGAGTGATAAAAATAAATAGTCATGGGATAACAAAATAGTGATGAAATATCTTGTTTGGTAGCCATGTTTGGGATAACTTATCCCATCATTTATATCATAGTAATGAGTTAAGTTATTTCATATACATGGTGTGATAAGTTATCCCAAGATAACTAATCTTTACATAACTTATTCTCAACCAAACGATCCCTACTTATCTATAGTCATGTCCTCAGTAACCAATATTTTATTTTTTTGAATGAATTTTTTTTTGGATATTATACAAGTGCATAAAAATACAAACCTTTATGACACAACAGAGAAGCCTTTGAGTTCAACACATTTAACGGCCAAACCGAGTAAAGCTGTCATACAAGCACACTGGTAGGTTTTTATTTATTTATTCTCCACTCTACCCATTTTACCCTTTCCCTTTTTCTTTTTTCTCATTTTTAGTCCTCCCGCATAAGAAGTATCGAAAGCTCAAAATCAAAACACTCATAATAAACAGCTTCTTTTACATAGCTTTTATCTATTCTCATTTTTTTGTTGAATAAACCCAAGGCCTCTTTTCGATCTTCTCGATGCTCTTTTCTCCTTAAAAAATACTACTAAATCTTCTCTTCTCATCGATTCCTCAGATCTCTTCTGCTTGAATCTGGAGCTCTCATTCTCGGTTTGTTTTTTTTTTTTCTCGGATTTGATCGTTAATTTTTGGTTTAATTTGATTGATTTTCAGCTCTAAACCCGTGATTTCGTTTAATTAATTTACTAATTTTGTTAGCGTTGTGTTTTATTTCGTAATGTTCATGCAATTAATTGTTATTTTTTGGTTTGTTTGTGTTTGTGAATCTTATGTGAGCTTAGCGTAGTCGGTTTCAGTGTAAAATTAGACTAATTGTGATGAATCGTTGTGTTAATGGATATAAATAGTATTGGATGGAATGTGTGTGAATGGAGTAAGGATGGAGGTAGAGGATTTGTGAAGTGGATCCTTGATTAGTTTTAGATTGAGGTATAGTTGATTGATTTTAGCTGAAGACTTGTGATTTTATGTAATTAATTCGCTAATCTTGTTAGTGCGTCTACTTCGGAATGTTCATGCATTGAAATTTCCTTAATTTCCTTTATCACTCACGCGAGCTTAGGGTAGCTGGTGCTCCGGTGTAAAAAAAGGTGAAATTATGGTTATTTCTTATATTCAATTAATATCATGTTGTTATTTTGACAGTATTGGATGAGATGTGTTTGAATAGAGCAGGATGAATATAGAGGATTCATTAAGTGGATCCTCGACTAGTTTTAGATTGAGGTATAGTTGATTGATCGGTTGACTGTTTGATTGATTGGTTGGTTGATTCTTGTGTTGATGTTAGTGAACTTTCTGTTATGGAACTGTACTGGTTACCTTGAAAATGCTAATCCTTGATGTATCTGTTAATTTGGTGTTTATTTGTGTTTGTTAATAATTAGTTTTTTTTTTCCTGCAATCTCTTAGCTTCTATGGGGTAACAATTTGTGATTGATTTAATAACTGTATAGAGTTTACTGTTGAAGGGTGCATAAAAATTAAATCTTTGATTAGTCTCTAGACTATGTGCTCGGACTCTTCAAAAATATCGATGGGTGTGTCTCAGATCCTTCAAAATTAGTGCATTTTTGGAGAATCCAAGCATCATAGTCTCTGAATATGCTTCTCTTCATAGCTAGGTGATAGGTCTAACTATGTTAAATGAAGCTTTTGTTTGCTAGTTTCGTGTATGCTTTATAGTATCTAATTGAAATGTGGACATTGATTTGAAGCTAGTTGATTTCACCATGTCATTGATGGATTTAAAAATCTGTGAATTTTCCCCTCTTTAAATGAGATTGATTAGGTTAACCTATTTGCAGTAACTGGAGAATGGCTTCAACTTCACATCCTCCCGTGCCATTCAGTGGAAGTTTGGCTTCTAAAACTTCAGCTTCAGACCTTCTTCGTAGCACAAGAAATGGTGTTTGTGGTGTGCCATTGAAAGCCTTAGGGAGAGCACGATTGGGTTCTAAGAAGAGAGATTTTACAATCTCTGCAAAGGTTAGAAAGGTAAAGAAGCACGAGTACCCCTGGCCAGAGGATCCTGACCTTAATGTCAAGGGTGGAGTCCTCAGTCACTTATCACCTTTCAAGCCATTGAAAGAAAGACAAAAGCCGGTGACACTGGATTTTGAGAAACCTCTTATGGATCTGCAGAAAAAAATCATTGATGTAGGTTTTGTGACCTAATGCCATGATTCTTGTCTTGAGATTATTTCGTATATCAAAATAGAAAATG